TTAAATAGCCTCATAGAAATTCTTAAAAGTAAAAATAAAGTTTAGATATTACATCAAATTACTTAAACTGTATTCAGTTACTTTTTAAAGTTGCACATCCATTAACTTCACAGACCTAAAAATACTCAGAATGATTCTTACTGTCTACACTTAGTGCATCAGCTTTATACCTGTGTTCCTAACTGCAATAAGAATAGTATTTTGTAATAAAAAAAAGTTATTTGTCATTAATATACATCTTAAATTCACATCATAATTGACTTAATATGTGAAAAAAGCGGTAAAACATTTCTACAAACCGAAACTTACAGAAAAGACATGCAGTGTCTGTTACTGTGTCATCTTTATTACAGAGGTCTTTTGAAAGTAGTCACTGTTTGAAAATCTATTTTACCAATGTACATCGGTGCTGTCATTTCAGACACCTGCTGTTTTAATAGACATCCCTGCCTTTTTCCATTCTGCCATGGAAAATTGGTTTAATTTAACTTCACACCTCACTTAGAAAGCATTTAAATTGGTTACCTTGCCGAGGAGTTGAAAGTATAGAGTCCAGCAGCTCTGAAACTTGCGTACTGCTATGGTTTGTTATTATTATTTTTCTAAGCATACCTTTTCTCAGCTTCAATTATTATGAGCTCAGGTTGTGCACTTCTTCAAATGGGTTGCCAGAAAGCTTGTCTTATTTTGCAGACAAACTTATGTCTGTGTGTTTACACTTAAAACTGATGATTGCATTAAATGTTGAAAATGTATTAATTGCACCATTATTGATTAAAGATAAACTAAATGATTCTTTAAACCTTGAACAGTCATTCAGAATAGAGGGAATGTGTGAAAACTGTCAAACCTAATGTGCTCTATAAGTACATCATCTTTATTGTTGACAATGGTTATGTTGCTAAGCACCAAGTTATAAAACAAAAGAGTTTCCCCTAAGCCAGGCCATGAAGAGAAGGTAAATCTGTAAAAGGGGCTTACTGTGATGCAGCATCTTATGTCTGCCCTGGAAGCTGTTCCTTTTAAATGTTAAATTTGGTCTGTGGAGCAGAGAATTCTTTTCTTACAAAGGTTAAGGTTTGTACTTTATTATAACTCTCCACAGACAATCTCAGTTTAATAGAGCATTTCACTTTTTGAGACAGGATGAAGGTAGGTCGATCTGTGGTCTATAGGTCTATAGGTAGATAGCACCTCGGTAGATACATTGACTTTATCTCCAGAACTCTGTTTGTCCTTCACTTGAAGCAACATTGCAGGCATAGAGCATTATTAAAGGTCTGTTGACACATGTTTTTAATTCCATAGTTATTTTGCTTAGTTATTTTACTGTGTCTTTTCATTAGTCTAAAGTGAAAATAATAAACAATTTTTCCCTCAGTGATTGAAAATGTAGTGGTTGAAACTCCACTTTTAACTGTGGCACACAAGTAGCCTGTTGTCTGTTAGACTACTAGCCCAGACCTTCAAGGAAAGTTTATTTACATAGTACGTGTCAATAGCAAGGCAATTGAAAGTGTTGTACATGATGGGGGAAAAAAAGGAAAATTACATTGCAGTGGCACAAATTTTAAAATAAAATGATATATTGAATTATATACAAATATATATATTTTAGATAGAATAGTCAAAAGCTACTCTAAAATAAATTACAACAACTTTGGGTTGCAGTGCCTTTAGTTTTCTGAGACTTTATTTCAGATTAGTGGAGCGTGAGTACTAAAAGCTGCTTCTCCTTGTTTGGTTCTGGTTTTGGATATGCAGAGTAGATTTGAGCCAGAAGACCTGAGATGTCTGCACAGTCGACAGACTGAAAATAAGTCTGTAAATTATTTTCGTGCTAAGCTATTTAGTGATTTGTAGATGAATACAAGTATTTGGGAACCATTGGAAGGACCACTGAGATGATGTGCTCCACTTTCTTAGATTTGGTGAGGAAGTGGGTAGCACTCGGGATCAGCTGATCAGATGCATTTGTTTGCTCTGCTTTTTAGACAGACCTGTGAAGTTAACATTACAGTAATCAATTCTCTGGTTCTACTGAAAATAAACTCATGAATACACATTTTTTCAAAGTTCTGCAAAGACATTTTAATGTATAGTTGTGTGTCATCTGCATAGTGATGGTAGTTAATTTTGTTGTTTATAAAGGTTGGAATGCATGGGAGCATGCAGATATGTAATAGGAGGAGCCCTATGATCGACCCTTGTTGAGCCCCATGTGCAATTTCTGTGTTTAAGTTAACCTACTGACAAAAAGCACAAAATTAAGTAGAATTTAAAACAGTCAAATGCTGTACCGTAAAGTTTTCAATGCACTTTAAAAATACTGTTTTATAAAAATAAAGCCAACAACACTTAGAGTTATAATCATGCTAAGAGTATGTAATATACTGTAATGCATAATCATTTGTTTATCAAATGTAACTGTATATATCATACAAAAATGTGTTTATTTTTAGGACTCTTCTGTCATAGTTAGTTGAGTTTAGTTTTTCTGAGTTTAAATAAGTCTTTATAAGTACAGAAGTTGATACTGTAGTTCTAAAGTCAAAAAGGGTTCCCTTTTTCAGTTTAGAACCTTGAAAAGATTTAATTCCACAAAACAATTTTAAATTTCTCAATCTGTTTATTGTCAGAGGGAGATCTAGATATCCCTCTTTACAATAATACTCAAAAGCTAATTCTACAGAACCACAAAAGGGTTCTTGGCTTCCATCCCTACATCAGGGTCAGGGTCTGCTCTGGACAGACCTCTTATTTCAAATTCTCTTAGTAAACCTCTAAAGCAGGGCCCTCTGGCTTGGGGAAGTTGTGGCCAACCATTTGAAGATTTAAAAAAGGAGAACATGGTCCATGGTTGGCAGAGATGGGAAGTAACGAAGTACAAATACTTTGTTACTGTACTCAAGTAGATTTTTCTGATATTTTTACTTTACTTTACTACTTTTTTTTATGGCGACTTTTTACTTCTACTCCTTACATTTTTACACAAATATCTGTACTTTCTACTCCTTACATTTAAAAAAAGTGGCTCGTTACTTTAGTTTTGATCATTTCAATGGAGTTACCGTTATTATTTTTCACGTCATCAATGCCAAATTCAATCTAATTGGATAGGAATCTACGTTGCATTTGACGCACCACTACAAGATGAATCGACATGTTCGGCGGTATTCATTGGCGGCAAATCATTGCAGCTTGGTGGCGGTGGCGTTAGCATAGTAGCATGGACAACGAGATGATTGAAACACAACGGAGATCTAGTCCTATTGGCAGACAATCATTTAAAATGTAGGCAACGGCATGAAAAAAGTGGTTTCTACTTTTACTTTTATACTTTAAGTAAATTTACAAGCCTGTACTTTGTTACTTTTACTTGAGTAAAGAAGTTTAATCAGTACTTCCACTTTTACCAGAGTATTTTTTAACACAAGTATCTGTACTTTTACTCAAGTACGGAAATTGAGTACTTTTGCCATCTCTGATGGTTGGCTGTTAGGTTTTAGGAACCCACAGTACTTTTAGGAAGTGGAGAATAAACTTTGAGGATTTCTTTAATTAAGTCACTATTTTCTTAGTTGGGAAGGCAAAGCCTAAGAGCTCTAACTCCATCATCATGGCAGATATTACTAAGAAAATGCCCCTGGTGGCTGGGCAGAAGTAGTGGCTTAGTTTGAGAGGGAACTACAAACCCAGATGATGGATATTGTTGGCGAAGGATGAGTATGTTTAGGATTACCTTAATAGGAGGCAATCTAAGGATGCAGGAGAAGGTGGGTCCATCATCATGCACCATGAAATCACTGAAGCAGTTAAAAAGCTGCCTGGCAGTGGGGCATCAGCTCTGGAAGAGAATTCGCTAAAGGCACTGAAATGCTATTGGCGTAGTTGACAGACAAGGCATCTTAGTGTTGCAAATCAGGTTAGTGGCAGGGCCTGTGACGTGTCATATGGGGTAGTATTTTCCCGAAGTGTTGTATCTGTTGAGGGATCAGACTTCCTACCGCCCCCAAAAAGAGTTTACTGTAGTTTAGTTTGAAATTAACTGTTGAACAGCTCTTAACCATTGCAGAGTGGTTAACGGGCCAAAGATGTTTGAATGTCCAGGCAGCCTTATGACTTTGCAGCTCAGTAAACGTTTAGGCAGAATCCTTATAGATGCCTTTCACCTCATGTCTGGCCTCAGTGTTCCTCAGGGCAGAACCTGGACAAGCATGAGGAGTGTGAAGCAGATGGATTGAGACTCAGTTCCTCTGGATATGTGGCTAAACAAAAAAAGAAAGGTTAATTACTTTAATAAAAAGAAAAACATTACGTTGATTTAATTACATTTACTGCCATCTCTCCTTTTTGTTCGGTATTTATTTGAAAACTTCATCAGTGAGGTTTTCAAGTTCCTCAGTGAGGAATAAAAAGTCTGTAATATACATATAAAAAATAGTTTAAAGTCTCTTCTTTTTCTTGATTAAGAAGTACTTCTCAACCTCTTTATGCATAAAGAGAGCATCTTTATGGAACTTATTGAAGTTAATTTGCTTTTACAGCACTATAGAGCAAAAGGTTAGTGTTATGCTGCAGAGGAGACAATACATGCTGATAAAACAAGGTCAATTAAATGACATCAGCTTCAGCATTGGATTCAATAATTAATGTCAAATATGAATGCTATAGACTGCAAATGAAGCAGCACGATTGCTCTTTTGCTTTGTTTCAAGATTGAAGAGTTTCCTGTAAAGAGATATTGCAGTTCGATGCCACTTTCAAACAATGTTTAAGTGCTGCGCTTTCTTTTCACGTCTTCAAGATAAAAAGGGAGAAGAGGAACTGTTTGGGGGTGTGGAAGCTAGAGGGAGTATGAGGGGGTTCTAAGTGTTAAAGAGTAATGGGCTGTTGTGATCTGAGGCGGCACTTGTCTCTCCGGCAGAAAGCATATTTCTTAGCACTGCTGTTGGTAATCATAATAATAACAGCAAGTCGTTTGCGTTGTTTCTCCGCAGCTCTCACTGTCTCAGCTGGCAGCTACTTCACGCTACCCGACCATCAGCCACTTCAGCTCGGCGTTACCGTGGCAACAGTCATTTCCTTCTCTGCTCCATCCTTCCCCGTTGGCATCGGCCCACCAGCTGTCACATGTCGTAAGACTTCCACCCCCGTTCGCTTACACACACAAATACACCCAGTCATGGTCTCACACTCAAATTTCACATTCATGCCAAATAAAAAAGCGTTTAACAAAGACAAGCATTTACAAGACTGACATTTCTACACAAAATAAGCTAAGTGGTTTATATATCCTCAAGACAATGCAGGCAATGATTTAGTTCAAGCATACCAAGCTTGGCAGAAGCATTTCTACACCTTGACATTTTCCATATTTTGTCAGGTTACAACCATAAAACTTTGATGAGACAGACCACAATTACAGCTGTAAGTTTTTAGGGTATGTTTTTATTCCCTTTGTTCCTTGAGACTAAAGGTTTTTAGCCTCAAGTGTAGTCAGATTGGTTGAAGAATATCTTTAAACAGAAATGTCGTCTTGACATAAATCCTTTATTTCACACCTAAATATGCTTTGTTTTAAGAAGTTCTGATGTAGCCCCGGCTATATTATGGTTTCCTTTCTCTGATGGAAGTTAAACCCCTTCTTGTTTCTTAAGAGTTTTAATGCAGTAATGTATTTGGCTGCATCATCCTCCCATAATCTCTGAACCGTCGTCCCTGTTTATGCCAAAGAAAACAATTCCCAAAGTGATGTGTGCAGTACACTGATCATGTTAAAAGTGGGATATTTTTTTCTTCTATAAAATAAAAAAAACCTGCTTTAAACTTTTCGACAGCTTTTTACCTGACTGGTTTGGTCTTTTGAATAAGTATTTGTTTCAGATTAACTCTCAAAATAAAAAAAATCTGTCTTATTTGAATTATTTTATATAATATGCTATAATTGCTATCTTGCATCTGTTCCAATTTAAGTGTATAAATTTAAGCCAATTTTGTGACGCTGATACATTCATTTTTAATGTTAAGATCAATGATATATACAGTGAACAACATTAAAGTGTATATAAACTAGAATTTCGGGATCCAACCATTACAATCATTGCATACAGTTTTGCAAAGTGGAGCAAGTTGGCTTTAGTTTGCAGATTTTAATACCTCTGGTGAATAATTTTCTGAAACGATGCAGGAGTAACCTGCTCCCTGCTGTTGTGGGTGTTTGCTGAGAATTAGCTGGCACTCATTTTGCATGTGAAAGCTGCCTTGTCTTTGCTAAATTAAACCATGTTCTTCTATAGCGAGGCATATATTTGGGAATTGGTTCAGGGCACATTAGAAACAGTGGTGCAATCCCACACAGTGAGGGGAGGCTTGTGTGTGTGCAGTAAATAACTGCTGTTCTGTGAAAAGAATCAGAGAACATTAGGGGAGAAACATCCTCAACTAGAAAGGTAAAGATTTCACAGAGTGCTGTTCAATCCATAATTTTCTTAAATGTGGTCGTACTACAAACCTGCACTATCATGACAGGTTAACAGAGCCTCTATTCAATCCAAATAAGCACCTGATGGGAGGACAACTTTTAGTGACTTGAAAAATCTGGGCTTCATGGAAGAGCAGCAAGAAGAAAACAACTCTAAGCATAGGTGTTCATCACGTTTTGCTAACTATGACTTCTCAAAAAGGGGTTTAAAAGAAAAAAAAAAAATCAGACAGCCTACCAAAATGGTTGCACCACCATGAAATACATATCCATCCATTAGTTAACAGCTAGCGTATTGCACAAAACGTGTTTAAAATACGTTATTCTAGAATGTTATGCAACAGATCAACACAAAGTACTGCATATTTTTGAAATGGATGGAGAAGGAGAGCGGTTTATTTATTTTCCAATCTTTTCAGAGCAGGTTTCCTGTCTTTGCTAAAAAATGCAAAAAAACGTTACGGTGTTACCACCATGGTATGGTATGTTTTTAGGAAGTGAGTAGCGCTATGATTCACATATTTACTGTGTCCTTTACATGGTGAAAAGGACACAAATTTTGTTTTAAACTCTGGTGTTTTTCCTTCCTTTTAATTCCCAGATTGTTGTTTCAGCCTCAATGTTTTTCATCTGATACCGGAATAATCCGAACGCCTTTCTCAAGGTGTAGCAATTGTTGAACACTTTCTGATAGAGCTGTCAGAACATGTTATCTAACAAATAGCTCTTAAAAAAGTAGAAAACCATGAAGATTTATTCCCCAATTTTACAGTGTTTACTGTACATGTTCAGCCTTGAGATTCATTTCCAAGGTTTCAGAAGCACTTACTGTCTTCATATTAAGGCTTCAAAGCTGCATGGAACTAAAGCATTAAATGTTGACATAAATATATCAAATAGATCTAGATCATCATAACCGATCCATCATTTTCAGGATGTTTCTTTTCTTTACAACCAGTCCTTTTAATTAGCTGTGTGACCCTCGTTTTTATTCAGATGGGGGTAGGGCTCCCATTTTGAGCAGGCAAGTAGATTTCTACCATAAGCAAAATACATTTTTATCTCATAGATATTAAACATAAAAAAAACTGTTTCCATTTTTTTCCCCTTTTTTGCTTTACAGCAGATTGCAAAAGCCGTATTGCTGTGCTGCAATACAGCTTGAAATGGGTTTCTAACTAGACAGCAGCTATTTTATTATGTTTCTCCCATCTATTATGCTTGAAATCCATACAGCTTAGGCTATGAATCATATTGCCTGAATAATCCAAGAACTGTGTCTAAGTCCTGCAGAAGATAAGGGCATAATCAGGAACACAATATTGCAAAGAAGAGACACAATTGAATTTGGCTCACACAGACTAAGTCGTGCTCTGAGAACAGCCAGAATACCTTATCTGTCTATCTTTTTCGCTGTAACTACACTGACGGATAAAAGTTTTTTGTCTATTTTGCATTATTAGATTGTTTTGCTTTTTTGTCCACATTACAACTGGACACATGCATCTATAGATTACCCAAAGGCCTTTATTTTGTGAAGCTAAAATAATAACCACAGTTCCTCCATACATGCCTAGAAGCCATTTTTTTTATTGTTTAACTATAATTGTTTGTTTCATTTTTATTTAAAGCTGATTTTTACTCTACAAACCTATCTTTGATTTCCATATAAGGCGGCGTCTGAAATGGCAGCAGTCAATGAAGCAAAAAGAAAGGTTTGACCCTTACCCTTCTTTCTGAAAATAGGTCCTAATAATAACGCAGTTGATAGTTTCTTTCAGTAAATTAGCTTGCAGAATTTACTGTTTAAACCTCCATTTGTCCTTGCAACCATAAAACCTGAACACACCTCCCCATGAAAATCACTCATCCATATGTTATCACACCGCAGCAGCTTAATGGCAGCGAGTGCAAAGTCATCAATTATTAGGAGCATTTAACATTTTGAAAGCTAGCGTTTCATACCATGCCAACCTCAGAGGCTATTATGTCGCTGGCTGTTTCATCACATGTTGCACATGTGTACCTGTGCAAATGCAGCAGCGGGATAATAGCCAAGGTTATTGGTGATATGATGATGAAAAGTTCAAGAATATCCAGCTGTACTTGACGTCTAATATGAATTTTAAAATGTCTACAGGTGTAAAGGGTGGGGAAAAAAACTACAGAGGAGGAAACGCTTCACTAAATATTGCCTTCATTAGCACTCGGTGGATAATAGTTGGTGTTTTTTAACACAACAAATAAGAAACCAAAATACCTTAGCACAGTATTTGTTTGTTTAGGTCTGTGTCCTTTCCTCTCTGTGTGGCTAACAAGCTATGTAACCCCACCCCTTTAACGAGCCCCGGGAAATAAATAAATTACTAGATCGGGAGTTTAACCAAAGCCCCTGGAAAAGGAAATGATTTATATTGAAACAATTGTAACTTGAAAAGTCCAACTCTCCTGAGTGGAAGGGATACAGGGCTATAGAATATTGTGTTATGAATATACATACAGATGTATATGTTATACCGTGCCATTCCAAAAAAAGTGAAATTAAAAACACCACTTCATTTTGTTTCCAAGTTTGAAGACGTTTCGCTTCCCATCCAAGAAGCTTTGTCAATTCAAAATGTGAGGAAAGTGTTGAGTTCGAGGTTTCATACAGTAGCACGGCTGTTAGTACCTCAACACCTTGTTTGTGTTTTGAAAACATGCTAATTGAAACAGACCAAACCGGATCCAGCCCTTTTAAAAGGGGGTCGTTTGGCTCCTTTTGTTTTGTTAGCCTGCAATTCCCCATACCCATCTAAATGTCCGAAAGTGGTGTTGTTAAAAGGGGTTTGTGGGCCTGGCTGAATAGGCGAAGTCTTCCGATCTCCTGTACAGGGGCCGGGGCTGCGATGTAAACGGAAAAGGGATTAACTCAACTGCTGCATTGTAGGTTTTTGAAAGCTGAAACCTGAGTCAACCTCCTCTGTTTAAGGTTGTTTTTTGTTTCCGAACATAGATGGCTTCCTTCACGCCCCTCTCAAACCACCTATTTTCATAAAATAGGTGTCTGCAAACTTGGAATCAATGTCCAGTGGATTGTTTTTAATGTAATTTATTTTTTATTTTTTTTGGAATGGCTATGACATGGATGACTGAGAATCTTCACCAGCATATATCTGTATATATTGCATGAATATGAATAGGTTGGCATGGCCTCAATGACTTATGGAGAATATGGGTCATTTATAGGTGTAAGTTAAATATGAATATAGATAAATATAATAGTATATTTGATAATTTCACCGTAAACACATGTATAGATTCCAGCAGGAAGGTGCTGCATTGCCTGAATATTAACCCTGCACAATTTGCACGAATAAAGTCTCTCAGGGAAATTTTGTTGGATGGACCTCCATATATAACAAATGGGGAAAGAGGAAGGTGACAAATTCCATAAAGAAGTCTGCAGATTTGTAGTTGTTTTGTGTGGCAGGGTTACTGCCACCCTCCTTGGTTGCTAAGTGACGGTCAAAGCGATACAGACCACCATGGGACATGAAAGAGGTCTGATTCAACTAGTTGTAAGTCGACGTATTAAGGAAATTATGAAATTATTTTATGAAGGTTGAAAAGAAACTTAGTGTTTATTTAATAGCTGTGCAATGTCCAAAATCATCACTAAACAATACATAAACCATGGCCGTATCAATACTTCATGTTTCCAAAGGCTGTTGTTCTAAAAGTTGCATTGTAGACCTCAACAAATACACTTTTATTAATTAAAAATTTTCCGTAGTCTCTTTAAGAGAGTTGGTATGAGGACAGAGGCTTGGGCAGATGGACAAATTCTGGGATGGACTATTGGTAGCTTTATGATGAGTATGAAGGGAAAATGTATAATAGTGATTATTCCTCATTGACTAGAGAGGCTAAACCTCCCCAGTAAAATTTGTTAAATTATTGGTAAAATATTTATTATCAAACTTTATAAATGTATACATTAAAGTGAATTAAATATGCGCTAAAATGTGCCTGATTTCATGAGAATGTTGCACATTGAGCCCACTCTCAGATGCAATCTCCCTTCCGCTCTGGAATCAGCAGGACGCTGCCTGCCAGCCTCTTTGAGCTCTGATTGGATAACACGAAAAAATACATCATTTCCACTGAGGCTAAACGTCTTAAAGGTCTATGAAGCAGGGGCAGGTTGTGAAGTTGGCTGCTTGATGCTGATTGGCAAACTTACTTAAGGAGTTTTGACTGACGGTGGCCGGACAGCGATGAGGGAAAAGTGATAATTTATTAAGAACAGTCATCTTGAGCTGAAGTCTTGCTGTGGTTTCTAAAGTTTATTATTTCATAGCTCTTCACAACAGCTATTTTTACCCGTTGTAATGACGTTTTTTATGTGTTTCAGCGTTTGTTAACGCAATACGTGACGTTTGGATTCAATTAACACCATTGAGCCTCCACTGTTTCTGAGAGCAGCAGCACCACTGATGTGTTCAGTGTGTAGTTATATATGGAATAATCACTCTAAATAATCCATCTGATTTATGGGATGGGTGTTTTTGCCAGAGCACCTGCTGTCTTTTAAAGCCTCATTAAGATGTCACCGTGAACGTTAACTAGAGGAGATAGGTGGAGCTGAATGCTTGCAGTGGAATTATAAACAGGTGGAGACAGGTATTCATTCTTCTTATTCACACTGTATTAAAATGTATGCTACATAGGCTAATATATCTATCAAGTATATTATCTCCTCTGATGGAATATGTTCAGGAACATCATAAAGTGCCTTTTTTAAGTACAAATGTGACATGCACATGTATTTATTAATGTTGATTTTTCTTTCAACCATTCTCATCTTTTTTTGAGGTTTTAAAATAAAATATATAAGAAAGTTGAAAGGGTATGGCTGTTTCTCCAAAACATGATGCATTGGGATGTTTTAAAAATAGATCTTTGAAAACATGATAGAAATCCAGCTACATCATTCCATCCTATTTCCATCATGCTTATCCCTGCTGGGGTCGTGAGGGGTGCTGGTGCCTATCTCCAGCTGTCAGTGGGGGAGAGGCGGGGTACACCCTGGACAGGTCATCAGTCCATCGCAGGGCAACACAGAGACAAACAGGACAAACAACTATTCACACACACACTTAAACCTTAGGAGAATTTAGAGAAGCCAATTAACCAAACAGTCATGTTTTTGGACTGTGGGAGGAAGCCGGGAGAACGTGCAAACTCAATGCTGAAAGACCCCAGATCAGGCTTCGAACCTGGAACCTTCTTACTGCAAGGCACTGTGCAACACCAAAATCCAGCAAAAATAAACAGAAAATATTGTGATCTAGAACAATCTTGTAATCAGCTTCATTCATTCCTAATTACTGCACATATAATCACCTGTGGGATGCAAGATGTATGCTACAATTGATCATTTCTAACAACATGTGAATTTCTCTCACTTTCTTAATAAAGATAACAGTCAGAGTTAAAATATAACAAAGCTAAGGTTTAGCACTCAGAGATAGACCACACAAAAATCATCCAGGGTGAGAAATTAGATATTTGTCCTTGATCAGCTGCACATGAAAAAGACAAACTTAATTGCTGTTCAGCTTATGATTTTAGGCTTATTTTTTTCATTCGAACTCTGAAACTAAATATGGAGTTTTGATGCATAAATGGAAATAATCTTGACATTTCTATAGATTTTTTTTTTTGCATTCAACTTCTACTTTTTAGAACTGTCTTCAAAGCTGCCGTCTCAAGGTTATGCCTCCTGCAACTTCTAGATGTGTCTCTGCTTCAATGCTCCAGACTTGAATATTAGCTCATTTGCTGAGCTCTGTGGACTTTGACCGCATGCTAGTGATGTGGTTCTGTATTGCCATTTGATTCATGTGTGTAGGGGAGGGCACACGTTTAAAAGCCGCATGACAACATCCCTCAATGATTTGAGTTTCAGACAATAATCTGAGCATAGAAACCTCAAAATCTGTATCATTCTGAATCAGCAAATCAAACTCTATATAAACCAAAAACTGGTGAAGAAAACAGAGAAGCCGGAGTGGTGCAGCTTTACTTTTATATACTCTACACAAGTTATTTGAATCAGAGCAAACACTGGACGGACCGAGCAAACCCAGACCAGGGTAAGCTCCTTACCTCCTCTTGACACATGGCTGCTGTGTGTGAAAGATACTTATTTCCACTGTAAGCTCAGGGCCAGAGCAGTCAGAGCATTAGGCGCTTTCTGGAATCTGTTTTGACAAATCCACTACAAGTTTTTTTACTTATTGCCTCATTATTTTAATCCATGTCTCATTACCCAATTTCACTTCCCATGCATCCAGTTGTCAGCTGTGTTTAGTAAAATCAGTCCTTTTAATTGTACTGCAGTGAGTCAGCCTTTATGATTCCTGCATATTTGCCTACACTTCTATGTGATCAGCTTGTAATTAGATAGCAAAATTTGCTTTATGCCATTTTGAGTGATGGCTATGAAGGAGAACTTAAAAATGGGGAACAGTCAGAATTATCAGTGAAGGAAAACAGGTGGTTGCTGAACTGCAGCAATTCAGCTGTATTAATCCTATTTATTCTTTTATCTATACATTGATTGTTATGTTTGTTTTTGTAGGCCTGTTCAGCTGTCAGCAGCATCACCCACCTGGAGATGGACCTTCAGCGGGAAGGAGGAGAGGTTACCGCCAAGGACGTAGAAGGAGACCAACTTCAAGAGCTGCCCTTCACCCCTGTCCATGCTCCTGTCATTAATCTGGGAATTAATGTGCCGAGGTCAGCGGCTCACGTTGTTTGTCACATTTAACAAAAGGAATTTAAACCTACACCAAGCCCCCAAGAGGGATTGATGGAAGCTGTCATCATTTGTTAGAATCCTGTAATAAATAGTTCAGAAATCTTAAATAGTGTAATGGAATAACACAGAAATGGATGCAAATTCCAAATGATAAATAACATGAGAATGCCAACACAAGCTGCATCACTGTGCAGCTAGGAGCAGAATTTTTTTTCTCCAAACACTCAGGCCATCATAATCCAGTTAACACAAATCTGTTATCCAGCTGACATTAACATCCTAAATAATCTATAATTGCTACGGTTGAATAGAACCTGGGTTAATAGAACCCAGAATATCCATCAACAGCATCTTTACGGAGTTGTAGCCTCTGAGGTCAGAGAAGAAACAATCTGCAGTCAATCAGCAGGTTTATAGCACACTTTCCTGTTTTCTGCATTTCTTCCTTTGAAAAAACTTTGGTTTTGAAAATTCAGTCTTAATTTAATCCAAAATGATCTCACCTCCTGATAAAGTTGTAGCCTGAATAGGCTATGCTAACATTTTCACTTTACTGTTTATTAGGTCTGAAACAATCAGATAAATTTTGATTAATCGATAATTGAAATAATCGTCAATTGATATGTGTGTCAACTAAGTAACGATTTATCATTAACAGGAGTATATAGAGACCCTGTTAGAATATGCTTTAGCTGACTTGGAGCAGCAATTATACCAAACATAAAAGTAAAAAAAAAAACGTTGGCATTTAACATACAAAAAACAACATTTTTATCTTTCAATATGCTCTACCGAGATATCCGCAAAGAGAAAAGTTTTAGTTTCACCTGGTTTAATTCCATAAAAAAAGCACTTCTTTGAGGAACTATTATTGATCAATAAATGGGAAAAATAATCAACAGATTACTCGATTAGCAAAATACTTTTTAGTTGCAGCCCTACTGTTGATGTCTTACCTGCTCCCTCACATTATTTTGCAGCACTTTTCGGCCAATTCATTATTTTCCCTTCCCTGACTTCTCCTTTCCTCTCCACTGACTCTCGTGCTCCAAGTTTTATGCAGCGGATTCTCAATCTGTCCTGTGCCTTAGGAACAGAAAGGATGAGGCTTGGGTGTGAGTCTGCTGCTCACTATGTGTTGACTGAAATGAATGAACAGCACGGATAAATGTGACCCAAAAAAGGGCCATTGTCTGCTAAGATTTGCAGACACTGACACTGAGCAGGTAGCAGACGGTTAACCAGGAACTATACCACCTTTCCTGATGCCCAGTCTACACCTGTGTAAAGCCCAATATAAAACTATTTCTATTAAAGTACACATTGTTTTCAGTTGGGTTGTCAAGTCTGGATAATCCATGTTTATTTCTTGGAATTCTGCAGGCCATAGCATCTGTGGGGGGTTTTCCTTCCCCACCCAAAACTACTATAAATAAATATGAGAATATAACATTATCAAAAATGCAAGTTGCATATGATATATACAGTATATATGTTAGAAGAGAATCATAGCGGTTGTTAAACAACAACGTAAAATTAAATGAATAGTGATTATGTTTGTTTGTTTTTTGTTTACTACAGTTCATACAGTTTATTGAAGCTAATGAAGCTAATGATAATATTTTAGTTTCAGCTTGGTTTACTGTAGGAACTTGAATATAGGTCTAACTTTTTAAGATAATATTCTTAAATGTATCCATATCCTTTTAGGTATTTGATTTTTTTCTTCAACAGTTCTGTGAATAATGCAATAATTATTTATTACTTTTCTAATCTGAATTAAAAATTCACCAATAGAGTTTCCATAAAAACACTCCCATATCTGTCGAGCTACTTCCCTAAATTAAAAAACAACACTTTGCAAATAACGAGCACAGACACTGAGAAACAAAGCCGTGCATCGATGAGCGGCGTCAGTAAATAAGCAGCTGGCGCTGAAACAATTTTCCCAATCCCAGCGTTTTGGATCCAGACACCATGTTGTTCAGTTCAGTGAACTGAAACATCTTTGCCTCTTCACTCAGAGCCAGAACATCTTTTTGACTGTTTTCAGAGTGAGATGACCCACTTTTTGGGGAAAAACAATAAAGTCAAAAGCGGTTTAATCCAAGTTGCTGTGCATATCTGATGGAGCCCCTTCTGAAACACAGATGATGGCTGGAATATCATTTCAGTGACTAAATTAGGAGAGAAAGGGAAAATGAAAAAAAAAGCATGAAATTGATCCAGCTGCAGAGGGGGAAAAAAGATTACCTCCCATCACTACCATCACCATAATTAGTTTGATCAAGGCCGCTATAAGAAATTCTTTATTACTGGCTTAGTAATTTACTGAATAGACCTCTGTTTTTCATGCTATCTTGTTATTGCTTATTTTCTTATTCCTGGACTGTATTCAGCCATCTGCATGCTGCAGTAGACTGAGCCATTGCATCCTGAGTTTTAAAAGTAAAAGTTATGAATGTTAGTGTAGTTCTGTTGAAACAGGTGGCCACTATGATTAGCGATAAATGGAAATTATGCCTTAGGATCCTGAGGGAGCGCTTTGGCACCCGTCCCCCTTTCCTCCCCTGTAACTGTTACCCTGGAGCTGCTGTTTGATGGATAATGCTGACATCCGTATGCCTTCTAATCATCGTTTCATCACATCTATGTTTAGTGCAGACGGATATTGAAACTTGCGTTTAGTTAAACGGGATGAAACGATAAAGTTGATGTTATCCCTCAAACGATAAACATCTCAGATTACAGAGAGAATGCGGGATAAAGTGAGAAAGGTCTGAATCTATAAACAGGTGTTGTGGTATTTTTTTCCCCTTCATTTTTCCTGACTCATTTCAAACCAATCACCTTAATGAGGCCTGTGCAGCAGGGAATCGACACATTACCTCCTGTTGTTTGTCAGGCATCAAGAACACGTTTGAAGAAGTCTGTGGGCTGTGCTCCATCAGATCTGACATTTTCCTTTCCTTTTTCCAGTTCCTGCTCTGTCAGCTCCAGAAGCTCCCTGGCACACCTCTTCTCGGCCGGTTTTCCTGAAATTGTGGACTGCAGCGGGCAGGTGGCGGAAGTCCTGGACCCGACTGAACCTGTGCCCTTCGATCCTCAGCGGGAGGAGGCTGACCTCTTACAGGGAAACCTGCTGGTCTTTCAGTTTCTGGCATTTACCAGGTAATGTCTGCTCTGCTGTGGCACATACAGCCTTAGTGAGCATACTGATTAAGTGTCTTAAAAAGTATAAAACACTGCATATTCTCTGACTTGGCTCTAAATAATTGGAAGTTTTTTGAATAAGCTTTCACATTTTGTCAGATTAGAACGCCAAGAAACTTCACTGTATTTAAGAAGGATTGTAGTCCATTGACCAACACAAATGTCCCCATTTTTGTCAAATGGAGGTAAAATATGTGGACTAAAGTTTTTTTTTTCCAAAATAAAAATCTGCCCATTTGCCTTCACCTCAGTTTTAATAAATGGAGATTATTTGTAAAATATAAACCTTTTCCCTCTGATTCTTATGGATTTCTGTCCGGACTTTGACTTGGCCAATCAAACACATCTGAGTCGTTTTGCTGTAACTTTGGCTGTAATTTTTAATACCGTCCTGCTGGAAAGGGAAGCTCTGCCCCAGTCTCAAGTGTTTTGCAGCTTCCAACAGATTTTTCATTCCTTCATGATTACCCTGGATCCAGCTCTATCTATTTCCCTGCCAGCTCTGACTATGTTTACCATCAGCAAGAAAAGCATCACCACAGCAAGTTTCAACATGAGAATTGTCTGCTGCAGCAGTGTTGGCTTTCTGCTAAACAAAGCATTTATTACTCAGTATTAGTCTCAGCTGACCAGAACTCCATCTTCTACATGTTTACTGTTACGGCCGATACTAGTCTGTAAATTAATGGTTTCACAGTGAATCATCTGCTACTGCTTTAGACCAAATAAATTTGGGGCAAATAATTATAGTTTATGTTTTATTGCTCATAATTTGATCTGAAATGGGGGCATCTTGGCTGGTTTTCAGATTAATATCCCACTTGTTGAGCTCAGCTGAATTTCTACATCTCTATATGTTTTCAGCTGTCCTATACCCATACTTTTGAGAAAAAACACTAAACGCTGCTCCATGAACATCTGTACATATATTTAGAATAATTTACACATAGGTGGAATTCATTTACCGATTAAATCAGATATTTCCAGTCTTGATGGTCAAAGTCTTGCATGCTTTAGGGCCCTGTCACACCTTGCCGATTTAGCCAGACGTCCCAGAATCTCCTAAAATGCTGGCATACGCTAAACCTTCTATGTAATTTGTCAAGTTTGGGCGTGTACATGGCGTATTCATAACGAGTTCATAACTTATGTCCAACGACAGCCTAACTTACGCATAATGCACAGTAGTGTAATACTAATGAAATGATGCACAGTGATAATTTCAGGGGCATCACGCAGCATCAGTTAAAGCTGCTCCTCTCAGGCGAAACTGTTCTCGGTCTGCATAAAAGATGTCTTGATCACAGTATTAACCTCGCTGCTGTTTACCGCCCACCCCCCAAAAAAGAATAAAGAATAAGAAAAAGAAAAAAGAAATAAAGAAGGTTTGTAACCGCAGCAGATTCCGTGTGATGTCTGTTAGGAAGTTGGTCATGGCCATTGGCGTGAACGCAGGGAGGATCCATCACACTTACCTTCTCGCTCACCTTATGATGAGGATTAAGTCTCGAGGAGTACAGAAGGTTTTCTCCTGTGTACCCCCTTTTATACCAAAACTCTGCAAATACGCCATTATGCAATAGCTATGAGTTAGAAAAACATTCAGAGGACGTCTAGAACACATCAGATACGTTGATATGCGTTGGAGATAAGTTCTTGATAAGTTATGCATAAGTTACTCATATGTTTTGCATAACCTAGACACCACAACTTATGAGTAACTTACACTTAACGTAGGTCAGCGATCATATAAATTACCTGGCATATGGCATACCAGGTATGCCATATACCTGGCATACATGGCATATTACCAGCGTATGGCATATGTCAGTTAATTTCGAGCATGCTCAAAATTTCTCGACGTACTTGCCTTATATCAACGTGTGCCAGCGTGCTTCAGGGTGCTCATAACTTGTACAAAACATACCCATAACTTATCCAACATATGCCAGCGTTTTTGCCAGTTTTTCCGTACGTCAGGCATAAGATATCCATTGATAGCTGATTAGCAGTGTAATAATCTGAACCTGGTGTGTTAATGCAGAGAAACCTATAAAACATTATCTAATTTTGGACAACTTCAGATTAGATGCTTTCTAAAAAAAAAAAAGTAAGGGGTGTCTGAATAAAGATGGTTTAATACAAAATCACTTCATTTAAACTTTTTGGATGTTAATTAGAAGATGGATTTATTTTTCTTTACTGCTCTTTTATAAATGGACTCCTTTGTGCTAGTCTATCACATAAAATGTCACAATCTAATTAATACACTGAGTACTTTTTGTTATTGAAATTGTGACAAAATTTTTGATCGTTGAATGTTTCTTAGGCCACTAAGTGTAAAACTGCAGACTAGATTATTGCTTATCTGTCTTAAGCGCTGCCAGAAAATCTGATCAGGCACTAATTTGACACCTTCTGACATTTTTTTTTCTCTGTAGATGGAGCTGCTGACCTTTTACCGCACATTAAATGACTGATTATTCTAGTAAATATGTCCTTGACGTTTAAGGATAATCGCTGGCGACTTGTCTAGACAGCTTTCATATTTATTTCTTTAGTTTTTTTTTCTTCTTTCTTTTACAGAAAGACTTTAGTTTACATGAGGGAGCAATAAATTCCTGCCAGTCATCCTCTGCACACATATCAATTACATAAATATTCATGGTATGTACAGTCTGCACTACAAAAGCACATATTTCCTGTCAAATCAGACTGAATAACACCTCTGTCATTGTCCCATCAGAGAGACCTATGGAGTAGTCATCCCGTCAGACAGCTGACAGTGACAGGGGGGCTGCTGAAGGATGTCAACAAAAGCCTCCACTCTTTGTTGTCCCATCAGCAGTCCTTTGCATTTGTCTTGTTTGTCATTGACTCATCAGCGTTTCACTAACTCCTCACACTTATCTCAATACTCAACTGCAACTTCTCGTTTAGAGGCTTGATGCATGAAACTATTTGCATTGTTTATTTATGACTCTTTAGATTATGCAGTTTCTGTTTGGAGCAGTTTCAATCAGGACTACCATCTGACAGCATGTACTTATGGGTCATTGACAGATGGGGAGATCACACCAGACTCGTATATCCATGTTTATTATTTATATTTAGGGCTACATTTGATTTTCTATGTAGAGCTGCACGCTATATTGCAAATATTTTATCATCCCAATATCAGGGTGTGCATCCTTGCAGAAGACTGGAGTGCAATAATTGGTTTTTGATTTATTCCAAGTGCTACTTATAAACTTGTATTTAACATGCAGATCTGATATTTAGCCAGATGGACAGATGTTTACACCCGACACAAACAATATTTCCAAAATTGCTAAAGGTGACAGAGTCCAGGGAACATTGATTAAACAAAGATATATCTTAGTTTTTTTTTTTTCTAAAATCATCCAGCCCTATTTCAGCTTCTGCACTCTGTTTGTCTCAAAATGTCATATTCAGATTTGTAAAATGTCTCACCTTCAGCTATAGATCATGTTACATCACATACATGCTACAGTATGCACTAACTATATCAAAGTATGAAAATCAGAATAGAAAAACTACGATGCCATGTCAAATAGAAATATTAACTGCACCTTTTTTGCCCTTTCTAACTTTCTCTCAATAAAAGTATCTATGATTTTAATAAGTAAACAGTGTGTTTAGCACCTTGCAGAAATATAAAACTTTCTTCATTTTCTCAAAATTAATATCAAACTTTAAAGCAGATTTTATGTGACAGACTGAGAGAACATTGAAATATTTTGAAGAAGTTGGAAAATGATAAATGGTTTCAAAATTCTATAGGTAAAGGTCTTAAACATGTCCAGTGCTTTATTATTGAGGCCATTTAAATATCAAAACATCCTTAGATGTAGCCTAGATGCCAATGTTGACTCCAGTTCCCGGATCCAGCAATTAGGTAGCCACATTTCTCACAGGAAAACTACTATACTGAACAGAGGTGAAATAGTTTTTCTTGAAATAGGTGTATTTCATCTTGACTTGCGCAGAAAGGTAATGGTGCTTGTCAATGGAATAAGATAAGTTGAATCCAAAATAAGAAAACATACAACAACCCCATTATCAAATTTTAACTGCATAATATCTGATTAACTTACTTTAAAAATACTATTTTCGTTAGCAGATAATCTTATTTACCTGCTCAAAATAAGGGGAAATACACATATTTTAACTGTTTTCACCCATTCCACTCTTCTTACCATTTTTGAAGGGTACCAAAAGCAAAGACCCTGTCAGTAGAAGCCCAGTTTGCCAAATGAGCTTCTACACATCATCTCTACTTTAAGACCTGGTTGTGATGGCATCATGCTGTAGTCGGGGTTTATGGGAGGAAATATAGCAGTAAATACAGAGTAATCCTGGAAAACCGTCAAAAAACGTGAGACTGGAAGGTAGGTTGTTTTAGTTCCAAATTGCTTAGAATGAACCGGTCAAAGTCCAGAGCTGAATTCCAAGCCTGTGGGCCAGACGACAATTATTTTTTAGAAACAGATGTTCTCCATCCAATATGTATGACATTATATGAAACAGAATTAGTAGATATGTCTTCTAAAAGATGCTTACAGTAGATGGAATTGTAATGAAAAGTTTTTTTAAAGATTCCTCTCTCAAAGTAACTTAATACAAGTCCTTGTCATACTTTTAAAATGTCTTTTTATTAATGAAAATATGTTAAAATGCCTGTCTTCCCTTTTTCCACTGTATAACACCTTATTTACCTTCTATCGGTAATAAAAAAAGAAAATAAACACAAAAGTTTGGGGAAAATATTAATCAAACCATGGTGGATTTCTGCAAAGTCATAGAGCTCGGCTAATTGGCTGATGGTACTTCAATTTCTAGATTATGTAGAAATTTAAACTTTATTCACCTAATAATGAAAAAGTATGATATAGCTTTATTCCATAGCTTTAGTTTTATATAAGGCTCACAGCAGAAATGTCCTGAAATAAAAAAATATTGATGCTTGATACAGAGAATGGTCGCGCCGGGTTATTTGGTATAAGGTTATTCTATAGTTCAGGGAAAACCTATTTTGCTTTTGTTGTGAGGGAACTCATGCTTAGATTCCATAAAGGCTCGCAATTTAATCACATCCTCTTTGCAGGACCGATGGTGAGAAAGTTTGATTCTTGTATCTTTAGAGTAAAACAGCAAATGGTTAAAGCCTATGGGTAAGGTAAAACACTTTCACATAAAAAAAAAGCTGAGCACCCTGCAACCAAACACAAAGTATGGATTTCTATCTAAGATTTAATGACGCGCAAGAAGGATAGGCTAATTTATTTCTTCAGCTTCTTTTGTAAAACGGTCTGGAGTGCTACTTGAACCCACACACACTGGAGTTTGCAGTTAATTGCAGATCTGTGTGGCTCTCTGTCGACGAGTGGGGCGAAGGTGGGTTAGCTACCACATAATTATGACAAACAGGTGTGGCAGGAATTAGTTTTCAATGTGCTGCAGCATCACTGAGACAAGTTAGCAGGATGTGGCTGGATAGTGAGATTTCTTCCCCTCTCAGCTATTATGATTACAAATGTTTTCTATTAACAGGAAGCATTAAGGTGTTCCTGGATTAAATTCCCTTTAACCTTCAATGTCTCCCTGACTTTTTAAAGGGGCATAATGTCAGTGCTGCTCCCTCCTTGTTTCTGAAATGATTGTTTGAACTCAATAACATAATTATTTTCTTTTTATCAGTTTAGGAAGAAGCAGCTGAGCGTCTTCTGAATGTATTCCTTTTCAATAATTCACTGCTTAAAGTCACTTTATGTGAGCTCACTGGGAGTCTTTTGGAGTAAATCTTAATATTGAAGTGTTGCATTGAAAGTTTGAAACAGTGTGTGAAATTGCACTCAGAGGGAGGCATTTGTGTGAAAAGCAATACAAGCCGCTGGGATGTTCTTGTTCTTATAGACTGTTTTTTTTTCTCTCAAATGGGATTTTTTTTCAAAACAAAGGAAGGATTTCATTTGTCTGAAGTTGAATGAAGGTGTGTTTACTCACCAGTTTTAAACAATTTTTCCTCTTTCCCACATGTTGCGTGACAAGATTTTAAAGCCAATTTAATTAACTGTTTCTTTTATTTAAACCATTATCTAAAATGTAACTTAATCCAAGTATCTTTTATAAATACAGCTTTTTAATACAATTTAGGTCATAAAATTATGTTCTTTCTATCATAGGGTTATTTAATATATCTATTATAACCATGTTTTGAAAAGTTGAGAAAACATTTGTCTTCTTTTTGCAGGATACCTTCAGGAGGTGTTGAAAGTGACTGGCCTCGCAACATCTATGTTACTTTTCAGTTTTACCGCTTCCCTCCTGTCACTTCCCAGCAACTGAGGCTGGTGACCAGTGATAAGGTTCAGCACAGAGCTAGTGAGGCACTTCCTTGTGTCTTAGCCACCATCAACAAAGACGGATCTGTTAATCACGGTAAGATTCATGTCTCCAAAACAATGATCTATTTTTTGCCTGATGTTTCTGCAGATGATTAATGTCATGATGTGACAGCACTTCCCATGGTGTAAATAGGGGTAAAGATTTAGGGTGCCTTGCTATAGGTTTTTATGATTTTTAAGTTAGTCACATTTTACAATGCTAGAACCATAGCTGATATGATCCATCTCTGTATGTCTGCCTCAGCAGATCTCAAACTGAGCCTGTTTCTGCTGGAGGTTTCTTCCTGTTAAAAGGGAGTTTTTACTCTCCACTGTCGCTACAAGCATGCTTCTGTGAGAGATTGCCTTCAAGTCAATGAGCTGATGCAATCAAATGGTTTTCCTTAGATGGAAAACTTTGAATCAGTTTGACTCGATGATCTGGTTGAATTGTAAAGTGCCTTGAGATGACATGTGTTGTGAATTGGCGCTATATGAATAAACTGAATTGAATTAAACACTAATAATTCTGTAAGCACCTCCCATGCTTTGAGGTTTAGAAAAGCTCAAACATGTCTCTACAGCAGAGTTAAGTCTGATTGATCTAGCTTCATTTAGTAGCTAATGGCATGGAATAGATATTACAGCTCCAGACAGAGTGGCACACTTTACACATAAAAATGACCCCCATTCCTGCCAAGACCCAAAATGTACACCCATACCGGTATATCACTATTCCCAAGACCCACTCTGGACCCAATCTGTCCATATTTCTTTTTCTATGTATATTCTTCAGTGCATCGATAGACAAATGCTCAATAAATGTTATTTTTCTCAAGTAAAAAAATGTATAAGTTAATTTAATGAGTAGTTGATTTTTTTTTCAGTTGAACATAACATCTAATAAATATATGTAGCTAAAAATGTGCTGAATAAACAAAATTTCCAATTTTTTTATCAGACATCTTGTGGGTTTTATTAGCATTTAATGCAAGTAATAAATAGGTACTCATTAAATTTAAGTCTTATGTAAAACAGACATAATTTATCAAGTTACTATTTAAACTTTCCTCACAGCACCTCAGCCCTTTTTTGTCAACCATGTAAATTGGTTTTAAATGTGTCTACACACAGTTTGTCCTTTATGCTATGTATGTTGACTCGGATCCAATAGGACACCTGGGTAAAGCCTCGTCCATATTGGACTTCGTGTTCACAGAAAATGGAGCCTCTGGGGATAAAAAAAAACAGAGCTGCTTTGTTTAACTAAAACAAACAAAACTTTTGTTCTCTTTATTTGAAAAAAAAAGTCTTTAATCCACATTAATACACAATGATGTGATCTTCCCCTACATTATTTCATACTGTGATATTTTCAGAGTGGTGAATATAATTGAGTCAAATTGAGCTGCCTTACTTCATTGGATTCCTTGTCATGATCTTGATCTTGCCCTTTTAACTGCACCCTGTCATTCAGTTTAATTGAAATTCTTCTCTAAAGCCTCTGATATTGAGTTTTTAATTTTGTATCCTTCACACCTTATTGCAATGTTAGCTGCTATTGCTTCCAATACTTTTGGCTGAGATGAAGTTTTGATTTTTCTATTAAGCTAATAAAAGTATAAAAACCTTTTTTGTTATTTAGTGACCTCAAAAATAGATGTGATTGATTGTTTAAATCAACAGCTGTAAGTTTCTCCCAGCTAAAATTCCCTCTTCAGATAAAAAAAAATCATGTAATAGACTCTAATAGTTATTATTATTTAGTATAAAAGATAGATAGAAGAAATAACAGATAACAGAAATATTTGTGTGAAATACTCTCAGTTTGTATTGTCTTCATGTTTAAGCATGCAAATTGTTTGACTTAAATTAACTTTTTTATTGATCTCAGACTGGAGAAATTCTCCTCTGCAGGGAACAGTGTGGAGTTAAGGGTCTTGCTCAGGGACCCAGAGTGCAGGCTGTAGGGAGACTGAACTTGGTACTTATAAGATTTTCAGAGCACAAGCACACTGCTCTAACCACTAGGCCAACACTCCCCATTCTTACATTCTCCCCAACTTACTTAAACTGAAATTTTAAATTAAATTTCTTTTTGTTTACATTTGTGTATACAAAATGACTAAATAAATTTGTCTAAGTCTAAACTTACAATCATATGTTTGTGAAAGTTATACAGTAATTTTCAGTCCTGTTATTATGACTATTAAAATATTTTACTGAATGTGATTCCCTGAAGTGTTTTAATGTTTCTCTTCTTACAATTACCCTAAACAGAAAAATTTGTTGTACATATGCAGTATAAAGGATAAACAAAAGTTAAACATGTTTCATAAAAGAAAAGTTTGTGATCTATTCAGAAATTCAACATTAACTACTGTTTTTATTAACAACAAATGCCTAATTACATTTACAATCAGTTGATAATTTTACCTTTGCATGTATTGAATACATGCTGACTTCACATTTCTGAAAAAAAAAAAAAGAATATTCAAACTGTATTTAATGATCATAACCTACAGCAATCCAGTGTTTAGGGCAAATAGATGATATAAGCCCAGAGTGAAAATGTTTTTCACTCTTTACAGACTTAATTTGAAATGATTTGTGAATATCTGTGGAGTTAAGCATCCAAAGACTGGATGCAGTTTTTTTCCCCCCATGTGTGTTTCTAGATGTCAAATATAAACATTTAGAATGAGGTGTGAGGAGAATTTGAGAAGATAGGAATCAAGCTTTACTTACTTTTTTTTGTGCATTTAAAAGCTACATTTATAAGCTTAAATCAAACATCAAACTGTACAAAAGTTGAGAAAGTGGGAGCGTGACAGATGCAATCTAACTTCAAAACGATTTCTGGATTGGTATGACTTGGTGGAAATTGTTTGAGTGTGAGAAATACAAGAATTTTAAAAGAGGCAGCAAGTTGTCATGATGTCTCTGAGTCATGCTCAGACTCACAGATTAGAGTTGAGTTATCAGCCGCAGCATTTTGCATCAGCGACCCTCTTGCCTTCAATATAGCCCCTACATTCTGGACCATAAAATGAATCCTTTAATCATGTCCTGCCATGATTAAAGGATTCATTACACTTACACGGTTTGGATCTTAGAAAAACTTAAATAATAGATAAAGTTCATACAAAAAGCAGTTTTTACATCAGGATTTCATTATTTAGAGAAAAAAAAGCCTGTCCAACCTATCTAACCCTATATAAAAAGTAAGTACTCTCCGTTGTTTTGACAATATTCAGTGTGGATGCGTATTGAGGTGTCTGTCAGCCTTCCAGAGCAGAATTTACCTTTCACTTTCAGCTATTTGTTGTGTGTTCGGGGTCTTCTAATGTTCCTACCACTGTAAGAAATAACTAAACTGTTTACTGATAACACAAACTCTGGTTATTGTTGCGTCAATGTTGCCTGTCTACTTTAACTGTGGATATAAAGAAACAATTTGTGCAATCCTGTCCTGAGATGTCCTTTTTGTAGACTAAATCCAAGGTGGCACATGTTGGTGATACATTTTTTTTAATAAAGTACACGTGTAATGCTGCAACAGAAAATGACAGAAAAAAGAAAATGTCTGGAGCTTTTTGTTTCTTCCTTTTTTCCCCTGGCAAGGAATACAGATTTAAACAAAGCAAGTTTTAGCTACAGACAATGTACCAACTGAAAAGGCATTATCTATAACCAGCTGGTCTTATTTGTGCCAAATAGACATCTGTTTTGTGAGTATATGCTGGGTGCTTTTGGCGGCTTAATATTGCAGCCTGAGAAAAAAAAGATTTTCTGTAAACAAAACATTGCATTGCATTTTTTGGAAGTCAATAATTCAATTACTTCTAATGAAGTGCAACTTAGATGTTTCTTTTTTTTTTTAAATGCACTTAGATAAGACTGCTTTGGATGGCTGGTTATTGTTTTGATTTTCCCACATGATTAAAACTAATTATTCGTGAAAGTGGACATATTACAAACCTTCAGTTTCAAGTATAAAAATTTGAATTTCTGGTGTCTTACAGAAGATTTTATTTTATTTTAGCTATCTATGTCACTAGATTTATTTAAAATTAATTTTTGTTTGTAAAAATGAAAACCTGATTTGTGCTTAAGTATTTACTCCAACAAGTCAGCGCTTTGTAGAACTCCTTCAGCCTCAATTACAGCTATGAGTCTACTTTGGTATGCCTCTACATTCAGCATGTATTGGAGATACTTTAAAGCAAAACTGCTTCATATTCTTCAGACTGAATTGTCCACATTTTCTCACAAACCTCTGGGATATTGATTTAGCTGTTTGCTCATCTGTTTTGTTTACTATTTAATTTCTGTATCAGCCTTTTAGTTTTATTAAAGACTGAAATAGGGAATGACTTATCTAGCTGGATATGGCACACTATGGGTTGTTCAATCACTCACTAACTTTAAGACCTTTTCTCTGTTACTTACGTCTAAATAAACGAGTAGTTGACCTAACCCCATCCTTGTATATTACATATATACTGAAAGTATGGCAGTACCTCTAAAAGGCCGCCACAGCTTTAATTGTTAGATCATTTTCTTTATTGAGAAAGTATTTAATATTTGTTGTTTTTATTAGAATTACCTCGGCAAGATTTCACAGTTCAATGATTGGAGGTTCATCTCAAAACTTGGGCATATTGTGAAAATGATTAATGTGTTTTGTGGCTGATTTCAGAAACGTAAGCTCATGTATTATTCATTAACTCTGTCAACTCTGTAGTTCCTTGTGTCGGAATATTATACAAAAATTAAGTAAACTGTCTTTTAAAAACATTTGATGAAAACTTCAGTCTATGAAAGGAAGGAAGGAAGGAAGTCTCACTCTAAATTTTACAGTCTAAGGTGTAGAATTTGCTGAAAAGATATTTATTCTTTAAAGGGTTAGGAATATTATTACCAAAAAAGAAAGGACATTTTGTTTATACAGCACATTTCAGTGGTAGGACAATTCAAAGTGCTGTAAATGAGAAAAAAGGAAAAATGCACTGCAGTGGCATAGAAGCAACACAAATAGGTAAAGAGAATTAAAGTGACCTATTAAAATAAGTGGATATATAAAACTAAAGATGATCGACCGATCAAGAGATTAGTCCCATAATCCTGGAAATGTTCTTTAGGTGTCAGGCTCCGAACAAGGGACCCAGTTTTGAGGCAGAGAGACATTTAGGTTTCAAAAAATGTTTAAAGTGGAACAGTAGAGAACAGTGTCTAAGGCAGGAACCTCTGCAGGAGGAGAATACAGGTTAGGGACCACATCTATTTGGCAGAGGATGATAATGAACATGAGAGTCACTACCTGGTCGTAAAGTTCAGTCCGTGAGCCCCAGATGCTGAAGTCCTGGAGGCCAGAGAACAAGCAGGAGATCAGAACTGAGTAGACAAAGGAAGGCAAGATGATCCAGAGTGCGAAGGCAAACCCAAAGCCGTCCAGGATGGGCTCAGGAGTCAGAGCCTGAAGATAAGAGATCCAAAGGGAAATCCAGAACATTGTCAGGAATCAGTTCAAGGTTTGGTATACAGGCAGAATCCAGCAGGAGTCCGAAGACGGGTCAGCCAAACAGATCAGAATAGGAACAGGCAGGCTCAGAGTTCCAGAGGCAGAACCTGTCAGGATCAGACAATTAGAACATGATCAGATACGCTAGAGAACTCTCATCACAGGTTTGAATAATCTAGCACTAATGACTAGTTGAAGGCTGATTAAATAGAGGCTGAAGTGTGTGGATCAGATGAACTGTAATGAGAATTGGGCAAATCTAGGAAAGTAGATGAAATGAGTAATCAGACCAATCATAAGCGGCAAGATCATGACATTAGGTGATAGAAGGCTGAATTTGTCACTATCTATATGTGGCTTTGAAGATTTAGGTCTGAGTCGATCGTTACACCAAGATTTAGAGCATCATTGGTGGTTTCAAGCTGTATGAACAAAAGCAGTTTGCAAACTTTTTAACGCTCTTTCTCTGATTTCTCTGGTATAAACACTATTACTTCAATTATGCTTCAAATTTAGCTGAGGAAAATTTTACCTTTGGCACAGTGATCAGTGATTTCATCTATACATTTACAGGACAGTGCTGGGTTTGGTCTCATCGTAATGTACAGCTGTGTGCCATCTGCATAGTAGTGAAAACTTAGGTTGTTGTTAACTAAGATCTAAATTATGGGAAGCATGTAGATATTGAATAAAAGAGGTCCTGAGATGGACCCTTGAGGATGCCACATGTGATTTTTGTTGTCTGTGATGTAAAGTTACCTATACCCTGCCCTTTAAGTTTAGGGGGGAAAAAAACAGACACACACACATATATACACACACATATATATTTGGATATATTTGGAAACGGTCATGTATTTCCCAAAAAAATTATATTTCAAAGCATATCAATAAGAAGATTTAAATTTTTTGAAACTGGTGAATGCTTTTACTAGCCAATATATACTGTAATTCAGTTAGTCTTGGCCCAAGCTTTTTGATTGGGCTTACATCAGTGTTAAGAACTCAAAGTACACACTCTGGGTCCACACTTTTTTTCTTTGCCTCGAGCTTTCGCCTTCTTGTTAGGCTTGTTGATCCCCAGCAGGATTTCCAACTCAGGCGAACGTGCTGTGCAAACACCAAACAGGCCATCCAGGTTAGGGGGGACGTCTTCTGGGTGCCGCTCCTTGTCGGCACACTTTGCTGCAAGCACACAGCTCGTTACAACCCCTCGGGCCAGATCTGTCAGCTCCTCCTGGTTTCTGAGCATAAACACACAGCACATTTTGCCTCACTCTCACGCTCTCTCTCTGCGATCTTATTACTACTCGTTTACAGCACACAAACCAAGAGCATGATGGGAGAACTCTTACTCCAAGTGTAGAGAGGTGGCAGGTGGTTTGGTGAGAGAAAGTGGGGATTGGAGAAGTAAGAAAAGGATCTAGGCTCAGTTTATGGAGAAACATTTGTGTTAAGCTAAAGAGTATGTTATCAGATTAGAATAATGGAATGGTTTTGTTATAGTGCATTAGTAATTTATAAGATTACCATTCCCCTAAAGGTTTGTTCAGACATCCTTTCTTTTACAATTGGTTTCAGTGTGCCAAACACTAAAGGATGTCCTTTTGTCCCTCTGCCTGATGGGTTGTTATTGTTACTACCCTCTGTAGGACCAAACATTTCAAGGCTTACAGCTGAATTGAAACCGACTAATTGTGTGATCTAACAAGGCGAGATCGGACTGTAGGAGGCCCTAACAGAGGGCCTTCTGAGAGCTTTGAAGAAAGAAGTAACTTGTTTAGTATTTTTGTCATACAGATGCAAGTCCTTCATGCCTTCCACCTTAAATACTCAGTGTTCTGTTACTAAACAAAATAAATTAAATTCATGTATCTAGAAAGTAATAAAAGAGTAAATTAAATCAAATAGATTTTTTTTACCGGATAGTTTTGCATGTTCCACTTGAAGTGTTACTTTTAACTGTTGCCTATTGTGCTAACCTACTGTATGTGCTGTGTGATACAACGCTCAACCATGACATTTCTTGCATTATGTCATATTATCTTCACCTGATAGTAGAGGTGCACCAATCGCAGATCTGATCTGAGGTTGATTTTCAATCTTTAGTTCTTGACAATTTCATTTGCAGTACATTTCATTTTAAGAAGATCTAAGAACAGAAGTGAAGTAAGAATTGCGTGAGTGGTCTTTCATTTTTTATATTAGGAGTAGCTTCACTAGTCAGTGTGTTTGAGGGAGAGCAATTTCTGCAAAGAAGGTTTTTACTCATAAAAAAAAAAAAATGTGTTTCTTAGAAGAAAACATCCATATTGACGGTCGTTCTTATCAAACCAACCTGCTAGTACTCATATATGATGCATTCACTTTGTCCCATTCCATCCACCAAATTGTTTTTCTTTATATCTCTAGTCATAATCTTTGGGCCTCTACAGTGAAATACAGAAGAAGGAATCTTTTATTAAATACATAGAAAACATGAGATGTTGAACAGGACTAGATTGCCACATTTTAAAGTTTTCATTATTAGGTCAGTGGAAATCTACTGCTCCGAGATAACCAATCCTGCTAAAAAATATATCCAACAAATAAAACCTCTTTGCAGCTTTTACCTGAATAATGGTGTTCAAGGAGTTGCAGGATGTCTAAGTGTGATCGAAAGAACAGAAAATGAAACAGAAAATAGAGTTTTGAGTTTTCTCTAACCAAACAGGATTCTTACCAAAGCCCCTCATTATATCACTTCTATTGAGCCGGCAGCTCTGCTGTATTTTTATCCCCAGGGAGTAAAGGATGTGTCGAGGCTTTGATACACGACTGGAGGGAGGCTGTGGGCAAGAATTTTGATGTCCAGTTAGTTCACAGGCCCACACTCAGACCTTTGATACAGTCTAGCCTGACATTGACACAAAGGTTGGTTTTGAGTTTGCAGTGCAATGCATGCCGTTCAATCTCAGTCACTTATATGGGTCATTTGTTACATGTTTTATTTTAGCTTTTGTCAGCTAATCAGACATCTTAAGGTATTTTATATATTCTCAGGCAGAATCTAGGCCTTTACTCTTAAGAGATTTGGTCACAGAAGCCGAGAGAACAACCAGTTCTCAGTCTGTACGACTTTGTGAGACAGTGAGAAACATTTCACCTCTGAGTGATGAAGCCTATCCACAAGTCTTGGAAAAGTTCAGTGGCAGATTTCTTTGGTAAAGCTGTGTCTTTGTCAGCAGGTTTGTTAAATCGCCCTTGAGTTTTTAATAAAATTGTAAGGTGCTTTTATCACCCTGAATTGTCATAACCTTTGGAGCGACTGACTTTGTGAAATGGCCCCATGGTCTTATGGCTCTTGTCTCAGTAGACAGTGCCAGCTCAGAGCTAACATCACCATTTTAGAAAGAAAACAATAGTAAAAATATTTATGATCGTGTCTTAAATGTTTATGATTCTAAGGCAGACTACGATGCTTAGTTTATATACGTTGTATCTTTGATTCAAAGTAAATCCCTTTAGGAATACAGATACAATATAGACGCTTATAAGGTAACAGAGGAAATTAAGGCTGAAACAATTAATTGGATCAATTGTAACTAATGGATTATTGAAAGAAAATCGTCAACTAATTTAGTGATCAATTAATCATTAACTGGAGTATAGAGACTCTAAAACATGCCTTTAGCTGAAAAAGTAACTTAATTAGATCAGTTATTACACTAAGTTTGTTGAAAAATAAATATTTTGCATTAAAGTTGAAAAAATATTTTTTGTTAGTCAATTTGCTCAATCCAGAACTCCTTAAGGGGAAAAGTTTAAGTTTCAGCTGGTTTAATTTTGTTAAAAGTCTTCTTAAAGGTATCTTTGACTATCCGATTATTAACCGATTAATAAAATAAAAAAATCAACAGTTTAATTGATTTGCAGAATAAATGTTGCCTTTCTTTTTCTGTTACTAAGATGTGTTACGGACGCAGGCAAAAAAAAAAAAAAAAAAAAAAAAAAAAATAGTAAAACTTTACCCATTTGGCAAATATGTTACTTTCATGTGCCTAAGCTATTATTGAGCATACATCAGAGGTCAGAGGTCTGAGGCCATTTGAAGTGTGTTGGAATTATCACCTACAGTAGAAATACAGTAACATATACTTTGTCTTAAGTGTTTTGTTCTATTTTGTCTTTAAACCTCTCTATATATGTTAACCTTTACACATTAACAGATCCATTGGTTTATAATATGGGTTTGAACGCAGATGCCTTCTGAAATATCTTCTCTTGTGTGTCAAGGTTCTCCAGGTCTACAGTTACAGTTCAGAGTTGATGACGGTTTTTTGAGACCAGGAGAGAAGCAGTGGTTTCTCCGCCATCTGGCCCTCCACACCATGCACATTGACGTCTGGGACAGTGACTCGTTGCTCCTCATCGGTTCTACGGCCATCGAGCTCAAGGTGAATGGCAGAGTTATTAATCAGACTGACATCGTCTTTAGAGACACTTTGGTCTTCTGTAACCTACAGTACAATAGCGGGTTTTAGTAAACCTTTGAACTGCTGATACCAAATTCAGCTTTTTTTCTTTGAGATAAAATGTTTTCTTTTAAAATACATTAAAAGAGGAATGAAAATATTTTTATTAGAGTTCTGAGAAAAAATTATGTAAATACAAAGACAAGATTTTACATTTTTTTAAACAGAAAAAAATAGGTGAATTTATGTGTTTCCTAAACTCTGTAGATTATAACTGTACCTTGTGGGCTGCCCTAATTTTAAAATTCCAATGTTTTCCTAACCTGTAAGGCCAAAACCTTAGTAGTTAACAAAATAACTTCTTTCTACTCCCTTCATCCCTCCTGCTACGTGCTTTGTTACCATCTCTCACTTTCTGCACTGCAAAGATAATTTAGAAAAAAACATTTTAATTTCAAAGGTCCTTCATCATGCTTTTTTAAGTGTTTAAGGGCTTCTTTAAGTTTGAGTCTCACATCACCCCTCCCTGACCACAGAAAGTAGGCATTAGTTTTCAGAGCTGGAACACCACGGTCAAGACATGCTTAACCCGCTCATCTTCACAGGATAGGGAGGGGTTGTTGCTTAGAAAGCAGAATTTGTGTAGATTACAGCTGTATGAGTGTATCAACTGGATTATAACACAGTTTAAACCTCAAAATACTTTGATATTGCATGATATAGGCCCTTAAAATGGCTTCCTCAGATTTTGGTTTACTGAACAGTACCTCTAATTGTTAAATTGAAAGTTTTCATATAATTAAAATCTAAATGCTATGTTTAAAGGCGGTCCTAAAAGAAAAAAAAGCCTACTTTCTTTGCTGGATCGTAGGCCTTAGATAAACATCTTACTACATAGTGCTGCTCCCGTAATGAACTATATCAACACATCATTGGCTTTACAACCCAAAAAGGAATAAGAAACATTAATATTTCAAACTCTTCTCTAACTTTGCATTTTATTGATCAGATCTCTTGTGAACCTCAGTCAGTTGATGAGTTATGTGATTTAAACTGAAATATGCAAAACTCTTCATGACAGTTGAAGTGGGTGGAGCTGTTTGAACTCTGCTTCATCTGTATTGTTCCTTCCTTCCTTCCTTCCTTCCTTCCTTCCTTCCTTCCTTCCTTCCTTCCTTCCTTCCTTCCTTCCTTCCTTCCTTCCTTCCTTCCTTCCTTCCTTCCTTCCTTCCTTCCTTCCTTCCTTCCTCCTTCCTTCCTTTCCTCCTTCCTTCCTTCCTTCCTTCCTTCCTTCCTTCCTTCCTTCCTTCCTTCCTTCCTTCCTTCCTTCCTTCCTTCCTTCCTTCCTTCCTTCCTTCCTTTGTTCCCTCCTTCCTTAGTTCCTTTGTTCCCTCCTTCCTTAATTCCTTTGTTCCTTCCTTCCTTCTTTGGTTCCTTTGTTCCTTCTTCCTTGGTTCCTTCGCTTGTTCATTCGTTCGTTCCTTCCTTCATTTGTTCCTTTGTTCCTTCCTTCATTTCTTTGTTCCCTCCTTCCTTCATTTGATTTCCTTTGTTAGGCTATTTTAATTCCTGTTTTCTCCCATTGTTCCTCTGCAGTACCTGCTGCGTCAGGGAAAGTCTGCAGTCCAGGCTCTCCATGAGCTGGAGGTTTTAACCACCGATTATGTGGGTGAGGACACTTTGCTGACTAACGCAGATCTGGGTCAACGCTCAGCTTCTACTCCAATGACAGTTTGCACCATCGTTAGAGGCCGGCTCCACATACGAACGGGCAACATAGGCAAGTACAAGAGGACTTTAATCTCCTCTTTCAACACAGATTGTTGACACCAACATTTCCATCTTTACATAAAGTATTGACACAGAGAGTTTTATAAATTAAGCAATGGTGGTGTTTAAAATTTGTTAATTTTGCCAAAATGTTTGTCAAATGTATTACGATTGCTTTTTTCCATTAGTATCAAATAATTATTTATATTTAATTTAAAATAATTTTGTTTGACAAAAATAAATTTGTCATTTTAGATTATAAATATAAAATAAAATGGTTTTACAAGTCATTTAAATAGTAGATTTATGGACTTATGACTGAAAAAAGATAAATCCAAGCTGAATCCAGGGGGCACAAAAGGTCTCCAAGCCACACGCTGGACACCTGTGTTTAACCATATGTATTGTGTTCACACCCAGTATCAAGACCTTGGTTATCCAGATTCTAAGCAGATAACCCAAACAACAGACAATAACACCTGGGATAATTATTTTCCAAACTATCATAACCCTTACTCGCTTTACACATAAATGCACATGTTGTCAAGTAGCAACACAAATACATTCAGTTGCTACAACTATCTCTTTTCAGCAATAAACAGAGTTTTGACTGAGGAGTCCCCCCTATAAAGCTAAAGACACCACACAGCTCTACAGCAGTGTTTGTTGTCAGTTGCTCCACATAAATTATAAGTTTTGCATGGCTCATTTCCCACTGTGGGATGCAGCTGGTAGGAGTTGGTTATTGTTACTCTAAATTTTTTTAATTATCATTTCTTTTAATAGTAACTTTTTTGATTTGCAGTCATAAGGATAAATATCAATTCATTATGGTTAAAAATTCAAAAGAACCGTCTGTATTGTCTGAATTAAGTTTATTTCTCCATGGTTTGTTTCATGTATTTAGTCCCTAAAATAAAAGGAAACTACCTCCCAGAGGAAACATCCCTTACTCACACTGCATGCTGATTTGCACTGATCAATAAAACCTCACATTTTACAGAGAAAGTTGTTTGTCCAACCAGAGGCTTCCTAAATCTTTTAACCAAAAACATCCCATCAATACTGTACTGCAGACAGCAATGCAGCCAATGGATCTTAGCTAAAAGCAGTGCTGATATGGTAAAATGGCCCTGAAACATTTTTAAATAAATCTGTGCAAGTACGATCAGTCAATCTGGAGGCATTTTAGTGCCACATATTAATGGGATCCAAATGAAATCAAAAGATCTAGAAAATGATCCATTAGTTCCTTTTTGTTTCATTTTATCGTTCTGTATCTCTTTCACCATCACATATATATTTTTATCACTGTATTTATGTCTGTGTTTGGAGGTCATTGTTCATACTGATATGATATTGATAATAATTTGCACTCATCCAGCACACTTGATACAGGCTATGAAGACTGATTTTATGGCGTAAAATCATCATTTTTTTCTGGCAAATTTTTTGTGGTCTTTCTCTGACCATTGCAGTTGAATGTGTTTCACCATTCAACTGTACGGCACCATTATCTGTATGACGCCATAATAAACGCAATGCAATGCCGTTAGACTGGAGGGGCTTACATTATACCGCGCCGACCGAATCAGCGAACTCAGTGGTAAGACTAGAGGAGGGGGGCCTAAGCTGCTGCTCATTCACCGTCTGAAAGCTGTATAAACGAAATTTCTTTTTGTATAAACTTTGTGTAAACAAAATTACAATTAAGTTTTCTAAGTCTGAAGGAGGGTAAACCAGAAAAGTATGGGGAACATGTAAAAATAAACTTTTGTATTTTCTGGATTTTGAGTGAACATTTTTGTTCTTAATCTCCCAAAAGATTATATTGCTTTAAAAATATGTTGCTTTGATTAATTAATCAGCAGATATTAGTCATTGGTCATGTGGGAGTGGCGGCCTAGTGGTTAGGGCATAGAGCGTGGAGTTCTGAGGTTTTGAGTTCGGAACCCACTCCCACAGACAGCCACTCTGGCTCTCTGAGCAAGACCCTTATCTCCCGATTGCTCCCTGGGCGCTGCACAGCGGCAGCCCACTCCTCCCCAAATGGGGTTGGGTTAAATGCGGAGAGATAAATTCTCCATTGTGAAATCAATAAAGTTGAATTTATTTATTTTATGTATTTATTTATTTATTAATTATTATTATTATCACTTTAATGCTTTATGTGCTTTGGACTGAGGTGTATATTTATGAAGAGGCATCTAATCCTTTAGGACTGAGGTGTAGAACCCTGCAATGGTAAATGTGTCAAATCAAAATGACCTCCTTGTGATATTTCCCCCTTGCCTGGTGACTGAATACTTTTCCTCTTCACTTGTACTCATCCAGTTCAGGCATGGGATGCCCTTGTGGGAAAATGGCAACTTATGGTAGCCTGCCTGCTATTTATCAACTGCTAAAACAATATTGGCTCTCATAAAGAAGGCATTCTTTCGCAGCCTGGAAAAACTCTTCACACTGGAATTGTTTGGGCTAAATTTGCCAGCAAGTTTTCCATGTGCTTATCACTCAAAGCAGGTTGAGAGTAGGCAGGGTGATTTGGTGGGACAGAGGAGGTAGCGGAGCTGTTTGGCATGTAAATTAACATCAAGGCTTAGAAATCTATCTGGGCTGACTGGCTGACAGTCAGGATCAATTTTGTGAGGGCAGCGCCAGCGAGGACTTTTATTTGTTTTTGCTTCCATCTGTCGCTGCTTTTCTCACATATTCTCATCTGTCTTCACTCTTCATCAGTGTCTTTCTGTTTTCTCCTGTTTATTTTGTTTCTTCTTCTCCTTCTTTCATACTTTATTTCACCGTACAAGTTTATCTAACTGTTTTCTAATTTTCTCATTCTCAGTCATCTGGACTTAATGAAACTGCACATGGGGATCAAGGCTAAAGCTCAGATTTGAGATGAAACATTCTTATCAAGTTATTTACAGATGCCAAATAGACATTTCTGTCCAATCGGGACACACTCATTCATACAAACATAAACATTGTCTTGCACACAATTATTCTTAAAGTCTAATTCACCTGTTTTGGCGAAAGTTGCAAATGGCAAGATGAGCTGCAAACACAACCACAATGCAAACTTCAAAAGACACCAGTACTAAAAACAAATGTAACAGAAAATCATTCAAACAAAAATACTGAAATCCCTTAAAAATAGAAGCAAAAGCGTACAATCAACAAACTGAATGCGAACACAAAAGTCCTGCAACTAAAAACAAAATGCTGCAACCTCAGTGTGAAAATTATGCAAATAGTAAAAACAACAGCAAACTTTCTCCACAAAATAAAACTGCTCTGGAACACACTCAAACAGAAAACAAACAATAATATTCCAGATCATCATACTTATCAGTTAGAGCTACTTGCTTCAAGGAGCAGACTAAGCAATGCCCGTGGTACGGTGGTCAGAGAATGCAAAACAATATAACATTTATCTGAGACACTTTTATGTGTTTGACAAAGTGTTTTGTCCAACTTGGAAAAGCATCTCAGGTAAATGTAATATTGTTTTGCATTTCCCAGCCACTGTAATATTGGACAGGATGACTTATAACATTAAATGTAAATGGAAGACTTTATAATGAAAGACTGTAAAAGTGACAAAAGTATGTATCCTTTGGATTAAGAGTGAAATCCAGCTGCAATAGAACCACTTTTTACAGCACTACGGCAGTTTTGAAATGAATATTACAGAAATAAACATGCTCTTAATGATACTAGTAAAGATATAGATATAGACAGACTTATTTGTCATTTTGTTTACACAAGTGTTTGGAACAGCTCTCTGGACAATTTCATCTTTTTTAAAAGTGCAGCCTTGAAAAATAGCAAAAATAAAAAAAAAAATATATAAATATAGTATTTATATAGAAACAGTAACATGACTGTAAATTTCCAGTTCTAACTTTTTTTTTTTCTCAAAGCATGCCATAGGCTTAGGTTGTACTGCTTATCTGCAAAACAGAACATGGGCTTTTGGGGTGAGTTACAGTTTTTTTTTTTTTTTTTTTTTTTTTAGCATATTCACCATTTTATTTATGCCTAAATAAAATCCATAGAAGCCAATTGCCTTCAGACATAATATGCCCTAGCATATTAAAATCAGGGCTGCAATTATTGACTGTTTTGCAAATCGATTAATCTGTCGAGTATTTTTTTGATTAAGCCATTAATAATCGTAAAGCCAAAAGTTCCTAAGAAAAGATTTTTTTATGAAATTAAACCAGGTGAAACTAAAAGTTTTTCACTTAAGGAGTTCTGGATAGAGCATATTGACGGACTAAAAAGATTTTTTTTTTTTAATCTTAAATTCAAAACGTTTATATATTTTTTAATAATTTTATATAGTTACTGCTCTAATTGGGTTGCTCTGTCAGCTAAAGGCGTATTTTCAAGTCTCTATACTCCAGTTAATGATTAACTGATTACTAAATTAGTTGACGATTATTTCAATATTCGATTGATCACAATTAATCGGATTAATTGTTTCAGCCCTAATTAAAATAAAATAATAGAAGGTTGACTTCTTGGTTGAAGTTTAAGTTGTTGAATATGGGATGCATCAAAATAAAAACTCTCGCCGACAACAAAAAATGAGGAAATCAAGCCTGAAATAAATTATTATGGGAAATATTAACAACACAGTATTCTGGCTATTATGTGTACTTATATATAAATACACATAATAGTCTAAGTTGATATAAATCAAGGCATTTTAATCAAAAGTATCAAAATATTTATTTAACACTTATATTATTTTGTTATGCACTTGCCTTAACAGAATCACAGGGAAACCTTCTTACCTTTCAAACACACCTACTAGTGACAGAGTGGTTCAGTGTCACATTCTTCTCATATTCAGAATGATGATCGAGTTGTTCAGATTCCTATAGCATAACTTTTGTGCCACTGACCTGAGGGTCCAGCGTTTAAACTCAGACACCCTCACTAAAAACCTGTCTGTCGAACACTGAACTCTGACAAACTCTGCTTGATGCAACTTTAAAA